ATCACTTCACCAAAGAAGATATACAGATAGAAAATGAACACACAAATAGATGTTTGACATTATTGATCATCAGGGAAATATAACTAAAATTGCAATGAGATTCTAGAACTACTTATTATAATGGCTAAAACTTAAAAGATTGACATGTCAAGTGTTTAAAGGACACTCATTCAATGCTACTAGAAATGTAAAGTGATGCAACCACTTGGAAACAGCATGGCAGCTTCTTAAAAAGTCAAACGTTGTTTTAAAAGTTAAACAATGATCAGTCATTGTAATCTTAAGAATTTATCCAAAAGAAATTAAAGCAAGTATCCATAAATTTTTTGTACACAAATATTCATAGCAGCTTCATATGTAATAGCCCCAAGCTAAAAATAACCCAAACATTCACCCAATGGTGAATGAATAAACAAGTTGTCGTATATGTACGCAATGAAGTACTAACTCAGCAATAACAAGGATGTATTACTGATAATTCATAGAAGAATCTCAAGTTAATCTCAGCTTAATTATACCAAATGAAATAAACTAAACAAAGGGAATATACACATAATGTTATAGTTCTATTTATATAAAATTCTGTAAATGTGCATACTTACTATAGTGACAAAACAAATCAGTAATAGCCCAAAGATAAGGAAAGAGTGAGAAGAGGTTAGGGGAAGAGAATACAAAGGACCACAAAGATGCTTTGCGTTTGATGTATATGTTGACCATCTTAACTGTGGTAATGGTTTCATGACCGTATCCATATCTAAGAACTTTTCAAAGTATCTACTTTAAGCATGTGAGCCTATAATATGCCTATGATACCTCAATAAAGCTGAAAAAATAGGCAGCTTCCTATTACCCTTGGAATAAAGACGAGATGTTTTCCATAGTATACTATGTACACTTCATGATTTTCCCTCCAGTCCCTCTGTTCAGTCTCATCTTGGGACACTCCCCACCCTTCCATAGGCTGCCATCATGATTGGCCATGTGGTTCTTCAAGGTTTTGTTGTTCTGCTCACCTTAAAACCTTTGCAAATTCTGTCCTCTTTGCTTTCCCACAGTTTACCTGGTTCAGTCTTTCTCATCCTTCAATTCTAAGCTCAAATATTATTCCCCCACCCCAAGAAAAGACTTAGCAAACACCCTAAATATTTGAAGCTTGTGTGTTGAAAACTTTACCTGGCACTCTTTACTTTTTATTTTTAAAATTTGTCACAAATTTATTTAAATTTTGGAGTAAATTCTCAATTAATATTTATTACATACCACTAAAGTATAATAATTTAGATATATCATCTAGTTGATACTTTTAAAGAGCAGTTGGATAATTATGACAGTTTTACATATAAGGAAAGGTATTAACTTTGCTTAAGATCACACACGTACTAGTCAATGGCAATGATTTGAACACATCTGTCTCTGATTTTAAACATTTGGTCTTGGTATTGACAAATAATTCTGTGATGTGATATCCACTATAATATGACACCAGAAAGAAATCTAATCTGGAAGTCAGACCACAATCTCTAAATAATATGGGACGAGTAAATAGATGGTACTTGCAGGCAAGTGTGCACTTGGAAAGATCCAAACTAGATTGTGTGGTGTCTGAGAGGTGAGCCAAACCTGGAAAATATGGAAAAGGAAGGTCCAGGAATAGCCCTGAAATTTGGAAATCAAAGTAGGCATAAAAAATTAGCCACCAATCATTGCAAGGTCAGGGTAAGCACCATGCCATGCTAGGTAGACTATAGTACTGGACAGATTAACAAGGCAGAGATTCACTGATTAAATGCAAGATGTGAGCCAAAGTATCTCCAAGTCTAAGAAGAAACTCATGAAAAAATTAAGAGACCAGAATATACCAAGCATGACTTGATACTGAATGCTAAAATTCTGGTTTTCACTTCTAAGACCTCTACTTATCCCCAAAAGACATTCTCCTCACCAGTTCCTTACCATTCTACTCCAAGTTCGAGACTGTCTCAGCAGAATTAACTCTCAAACCAGAAAATTCCAAATGTAAGAGTCCCATGGTAATAATGACAGTGGGGAGAGGATAAATAGAGACAAAAAAATGCAAGGAAATATTTTCAATATTCAATTTTTTAGTAATTAGGCATGCAATAGCTAGACATTATAATGTAAGTCACATCCAATGTCCAATTTATTTTTTCTTTGCTAAGTTAAAAAAAAAGCTCATCTGATAAGCATGTGATATATAAACCAGTAGACAGGTTTTTGGTTAAATGACACTGCCACTTGACAGATAAAAAACATCATGGTATTTAAAATCCTTCATCCCCCAGTGTATCAGTGACCTAAAGTACAGGAGGGTTCATAAACTATCTTTAAAAGGAGAATATAATATATTGTCTGCTGTCAGTGAGAAAGGACTTATCTTAAATCAAGATTTGAAATACTGCCAGTATCTAAGATACATTTATTTCTTTTAAAGGAGGAGAACTTTTAAGCCAAACTTCTCACCAGCTCAATTGGAATTTACATCAGTCAGTAAAATCCAGATACTTTCCAGGATATTGACAATTTGTACAAATTATAGTCATTTAGCTAAATTTCAATAGTTTGTTATTCTCACAAGGGAATGCCTATTTATTTTTTAAAAATATAATTTTTGCTTTCAATATTTCTTTTTGTAGCATTATATTTTGAGGATCAAAACGGAATGAATACATTATATTCCACTTATATAGAAACTGAGCACTATCTAAGTAAATGAGTATTTTTTTTTACCATCTTGAATGGATTATATAACTTTCAAGGTCACTGTTTTCCAAATGTCTCACGTTAGTATCCCTCATAGACATCAAGTGCAAAATAAAATTAGTTATTCTTAGTTTGCTTTGCTTCTAAATTTGTCTCCATTCTATGTTTGCTCCATACTGAAAACAATTTGATGTTTTTAAACTGATATCTTATTGATGACAATATCTAAGTATAAATTCATAAGCAATATTCAGCATCTATTAGAATCTATTACAGTTGTCATAAAAAGTTTAATCGTCTCAATAGCTGTCAGTTTTGGGTAATTGGCAAGATCGAATACACATTTTAAAATAACATAAAATATGTTGACTCAACAGATTCAACTATTCTTGTAACTTAATTTAATATTACCGCATTGTCATGGCATAAACTATTATTTTCAGGACTAAGAGGATCTAATTTTAGAATTTTTAGTTCATTGCTTCTTACCAAAAGCAATACAGTCTATTATTTCCTCTTTTTTTAAAAGAAGTCAGTCCAAATGTTGCCTGTGGAAATTAGATTATTTCACAGAGTCATGGGAAATGCATTTCGAGGATATGCACATAGGAGGACCAGAAGCACAGTGGTTAAGATTCATTGGAGCAAAAACAAAGGACTCCCCCAGGTGCCCAATATTTCATCCACTACCAGGTGGCTCAGCTGTGTCTTGTTGTGGAAGAAGTCTGGTGCCTGGTGAGCACAGGCATCCACCTAGGAGGTTCAGGATCCAGAAGTGTAATGCCGTCACTGTGTCTCTGGTAGTCCAGCACAGTCTCTGCTCCTGGCTGCGCTCTGGCCCAGCAATGACACCCTTCAGTGCACGTGCAGTTGCTGCGGAGAGAGAACTGGAACGATGTTTGGGCCTTTGTTAAGCTTTGATTTTATCTCCTTGGGTGTGTGAGAGAGCAGGCTTTTTTTTTTCAAACTAACCAGATTTCTTCCTAATTCTATGGAGGGTTGTGTTGAATCCTCACCCTATCCAGTTCCTTTTCTGGATCTTTTGGAGTTCTGTGCCCTCATCCTACTCAATCTTTATCCAGATTTTCCCAGGCTATCTTCCCCCTCTTTATGTCACCATTTTTGTTCCTACTGTGCACGCCTCAAAGTTTTGCCTCCTGCTGCTATTGCACATGCCTCAGCAAAGGAATTTCCCCTTTATTGTTCCTCCCTCCAACCAGTAATCCCAGCTAATAGCTGATTGTTCCCCAGGGAGATTAAAAAATCAGTCTTTCTTGTCCACTTAGTTGAGGGACAGAGGGGTGTTAATGCAGCTATCCCAGGCTTAGATGGTTCACCTGCCTTCTCTTCTGTTAATAATTAACTACTGCCTACAGTAACACAAACTCTATGGCAAATCAAATAAAAGTACAACAGTCACTTCTGTTATGTCAGGTTTTTTGAGTAGGCTGATGCACCAGTGAAATGTGTATTTCAGAAACTTACAAGAGAAAAAAAAGACAAAAGTACTAATTAAATTTAAATCTGTATATTTCTGGAATGATGACCGCACAGGAGAATATGGTAATCTTAAAGGTCAACCTCATTTTCACTGAACTTTTAAAAGTGTTTAATAATGTTGTAATTTTTCACCTTCATATAAGACTCAAGGTCCATTTTTAACAAAGGTCTCGAATGAGCCCAAATGCAAACTCAGGTATCATGTTTTTATGTTTAAAAAGTGCAGTGCGAGCAGCTCAAGTATCAGGGCTCAAGTCTCATTTCCATACCCTTGGTGCACGAGTGGCACTGTAGAGAAACTACCATAAATCATCTCTTGGCTGTTTACAATTAATTTTATGTTCTATACTTGTCCTCCTCTATGTTTTTATGCCATTTCTTTTTATATTTGATTTTTGAGGTCATTCATGGTTTCAGGTGAAATACCCTAGCTTAATATTAAAATATTGCTATGTGATATTCTAGTATAACTTTTAATAACGCAATTCAAGGTCACCTTTTCCACAAAGTTTAAAATTAACTGTCAGAAAGTTGTCAAAAGAAAAATACCCTGTAACTTTCTAACTCTTTTAAATATGAAAAGATATTAAGTGGTTTATTGCATAATTTCTTGAAGGGTAAAGCATTTCTACTAATCCTGCGTATTTTCCCAGCAGTCCTTTATCTTATTTATTGTTACCTTGGAAGTGGTTTCAGAGTTCATCAGAGTTTCTTATTACTACTTAGCTGATTGTCAGTAAAACAAGAATAAAAAAACCTTGTCTAATAATTTTCAGAATAGCTATTCTTCCAGACGGAAATCTGCGGATCCTAAATGCTTCTAAATCAGATGAGGGAAAGTACGTTTGCCAAGGGGAAAATGTGTTTGGTTCTGCTGAAATCATAGCTTCAGTATCTGTAAAAGGTAAGAAAATGTGGCTAAATAGTTCATAAGCATAATTTCATGGATTTATCAGAAAGTGACTATAATATGCATGTATATGTATTTGCACATATGTGTGTGCAGGCTCCTGTTGAAAATATACGTTGTAAAAATAGAACTAATACAGCCAAATTGTCCCTCTCCATTATTTAGAGGACCATAAATAGATGGAATGCCTTAGTGGTAGAAATTTAAACATTTTTCTTTGAACAAAATATATGAGAAAATGAAGACAACTTTATGAAAGTTTAGTCACTGTCTCAAAATATAAAAGAATGCTAACAATACAATATTTTTCCTCCACCAAGATTAATTTTAACATTAATCAGTAATCTTCTTTTATTACCACTTCAACAGAGGATTTGGGGTAGAAAGGTAGGAGAAGCGGTACATGAATGTCATGTGTTAGACTGCACATCAGATAAACTCATGGACCAGAACTGTTCTTTGATGTTTGCATCAATGTAGTTTTTCATATAAAGTCATTAAAGTCTTTTTTTAATATTACAACTATTGCTGCTTAAATGTTTCTATTAGTTTTCTATTTCTTTTTTATTTTATTTTAATTTATTTTTTCAAATACATTTGTCTCTGCCTCCCCCCCAACCACTTTCCCTTGCCCCCTCCCTCCTTCCCTCCCTCAGCTCTTCCTCTTTGGTTTTGTCCATGAGTCCTTGCTATATGTTCCTTGACTTGCCCCTTCCCTTCCTTTTCCCCGCCCCCGCTCCTTCCCTCTTGTCTCAAAGTGAACTAGAGTTCAAGCCTAGAAGCTTCAAGACTACATGTCACTGTTTAATAGTAAGAAAATCTCATATCTTAAGCCCTCTCTTCAATTGACAACAAATATTTCTCACAGTTGAACTATATACTTAATTATTTTTCCATTTATGCATGTTTTTTATAGTGAATCATACTTGGGTCATAAAAATATAAAAATGTTAATTTGTGTCTTTCTTTAGAAATAGAAAGATAAAATAGCCAGCACTTTGATATTTTAGAGAAGAGGCAAACATCAATGGAAGGAATATAATTTAGAGGTTGTCTTCATTACAGCATTCTTGACAGGAATCAAACACAATTTTCTCTGCAGTCTGTGTCTTATTGCTTCTGTGTGCTAAACAATAAGGCAATGCTGGGTCCAAATACTTTTTTTGTAACAACAAAAATGTTTTCTGTTAATCATGAATTAAATGGAATATTTACTTATTCAGAATATTCTAATTCTTACAAAATTTAAACTATAATATGATGTAATTGTGCTCTCTGATGAAGCCAGAATTTAGCCTGCTACACAGAATAACTGACTTCTAAAATGTTAATGTTTGGAGTGGTATTCCTTTCCCAGAATCACACTTTCTGCTCATTGACTGCTTAGAAAGATGTAGCATGTTAAAGGATCTTTTGGGGTGGCTAAGAATGGTGCTACATCAGATTATGCTATTGTTAACAACAGAGGTAGGATAGAAAAATTGGGTTAATTTTTATTCATTCATGTCAGTTTTCTTCAGATATCTACTATCAGGAATCCACTCAAAATTTTGATGTTTATCTTTTTTTCTATCTCCATCACTTCCCAACTTTATTCAAAGTAACACATCATATTGCAGTTATTTGTTCACTATCTATTTTTAAATATTTTTTTTATTTTCAATTACAGCTGATATACAATACTGTCTTAGTTTCAGATGTACAGCACAGTGATTAGACACATATAACTTACAAAGTTGATCATTATCTTAAATAACCCTTAGATGTATAGCTCATATTAGTTTTTACTGGCTCAAAGTTGATCTAAACTCTGTAAAAATGTATATATTTTTAAAAATTTTTAACTGAATCATAGAGTAATTAAAAAAGTATTTTTTTCTCAAAGAGTGGCATTCAATATTTTGCCTTCCTTTTCATATCTCAATTAAACCATTCACAATCTATCAAAAGTAACATTATATAATCAGCCAGAGGAGCTTCTTCTACATTTTTTTCTCCTCATGAGAGAGGTGTAGAGTGTAAAGCAAATATAAGGTGTTTTCGTAGTATTTTATTGTTACCTCTTTTAGAATAGTAATTTGACAGGAGGTGCTTCCTATAACCTTTAAAGAAGAAAACTCACCTGAATTCTTCCTCTTTAGATATGGAGTCTTTTATTGTAAAAATCCTTTTATTTTATATTTGATGATCATTGAAGCTGGACAGGGAGGCTATGGCTTCTTTTTTCCTCCTTCCAGAATGTCAAAGGCTACTTCTAGTTATGTAGCCTCTCCTTTTTTTGTCCAACTTAACTTCTTAATAGGAACAAGGCTTTTAAATTATCACTCCCCTAGAGAAGCATAGTGAAATGTTCTAGCGTACAGAAAGTAAGAGTTTAATTAATAATTGTTCATTCTTTACAAGACTTTATTTATTTATTTTTAGAGAGATGGGAAGGGAGTGGGAAAAAAGAGGCAGAGAAGCATCAATATGCAATTGATTGCTTCTCGCACACCCTCAACAAAGACCTGGTCCACAACCTAGGCTCATGCCCTGGCCAGGAATCAAACAGACAAACTTTTGGTTTGCAGAACAATGCCCAACCCATTAAGCCACACCAATCAGGGCTAAAAATAGTTTATGAAGGCTGTATATATGGAATAATTTATTGCATAGATTCCTTGTTTAAGTTTTTCTCTATGATGTAAAATATAGAATGCAAGGAAATATGTGTTATGTTAATTAATGCATTTTTATTTCTATAGAACCTACAAGAATAGAACTTACTCCTAAAAAAACAGAGTTAACAGTAGGAGAAAGCATTGTTCTTAATTGCAAAGCAATTCACGATGCTAGTTTGGATGTAACTTTCTACTGGACACTAAAAGGACAGCCCATCGACTTCGAGAAAGAAGGTGGACATTTTGAAAGCATCAGGGCCGTAAGTTAATACATTTTTATTTTTTGAGTAACAAAAATTTTAGGAATTTGGGTTCAAATGTAAAAAATTTTCTTATCTATGAAATGCTAAAGAAGCATAGGAAAAAATCCATTTGATTTAAATGATTATGTACTTTCATTATTTTATATTAGGTCAAACTGAAAGTAATAATTATTTTAAAACCCCCAGTAAGAAAACGGTAATACTTTATTATAAGTCTGGTTTCTTAGTCACCTTTATTTACTTGAGTAATAATGTCAATATTTCCATATTACTTGTCAAAAGTTAAGTTGCTACATAAATTGGCTAGTGTTATCTACAGTATTCTTAACAGTAATTATTATACAATAAATTAATGAAATAACCTACCTGTCCTACTCCTCAATAAATAATCATTTTTGGAAATTTTTAAATTTCTCACAGGCTATAGAGCTAAATACACAAACCATAGTCAAGAAGGCACAATAGCCTTAGATAAGCATTCACAAGCATACTCACTTGTCCACCAAATATTTTCTTTGTAATATCTTCTTTTATTTTACATATCTACATAGCAACCAACTAAATGGACTGGTAAATCTCTCAAACCAAATACTATAGAAGCATCACAGTTGTCTTAACTCAACAGAAAAGTGAAAAAACACCCTTTCTCCCATTGTCCTCTTTAAAACGTAAAAGAGTAATGTAACAGGGAAAGAGAAAGATGGATGGAACTAGGGTGGCAGAGAGAGATTTTTGACTGCAATATCCCATCTGTATTTGCTAAAGAGATAGATCCAAATACAATTTATGCCTACCAATCCAGTTTAAAATACTGTCACATGCTTATTAAAATCAGTTTATTTTTCTCAAAACAATTTAGGAAATACTAGTTACAGCCATAACAAGTCCAAACATTTAAAACTCAGTTTGGATTGAATTTTATTATAAAGGTAATGTAGTAAGATGAAAAAGTCCTAGACCCAAAGTCTGGAAATTTCTGGATCAATTTCCAGTTCAACCCCCAAGCAGCTGTGCAACAAAAAACCAGTCAACTACTTGACCTACCTGGACATTAGTCTCATAGAGAAGTTAAGTGAACAATTTGGACAGATCATTTCTAAGATCCTTTCTCACTTTTGAAATTGATAAATTTATATTACAAGAATAAAACATGAGCTCTCTTTGTTATATTTGTCAATGTAACTAAAACTAAACATTTTATTCCAAATTATTCTTTTCATCCTGTTTTATTTTGCAATAAATGGAAGAGACTACGTAAATAAGAAACAATTTCCAACTACTTGTCCACACTTTGTTAAAGAAATTTTAATTATTAAATGTTATATGTAAAATATTTAAATCATGTTAAATTAAGCTCATTTTCTTCTAATCTCTGAATTCTCTTTTTTTCATTACCTTGAGTTGATAATTCCTTCAAGATTGTGAACAAATTTTATGCCATGAATGTCACAAAACAGAACCAGAAAAAATATTATACAAAAATATTACATTTGAAAATAAAATATTTAGCATCCAAAATACATCTTCTTGGGATAGTCTGTAAGCATTCATTTTGAATATTGTTTTTTTCTTTATGTAAGTAGGTTCCCTCTTTATTTTAAAATACCAATAGAGGAATTAATGGTCCTGGTCAAATTATATGAATTCTTGTTTTTGTCTCTTAGGCATTACCACTTTCGTCTGATGTCCTTTAATTGTACCAAAAAATACCTCTAATTTCTTTCATAAAGTTGGCAGCCAACAGTACTTGCTATATTCCTCTTTACACATATGCTGTTCTTGCCCTTGAGAAGTATAAAATTTACTCCTTACTCCCTGTGAACCCATAATGTGACAAGCCATGTTAAAATTAGGCTCTGGATTGTGGAGAGAAGTAATAAACTACAAAATAGAAAACTAAAGCGAATTATCATATTGAGAAGTGAGAAAAATATTTTGGTTTAGGGTACTATAGGGCTCACCATTTTTAGTATATTTGTAAGGATTAATAGAAATACATATGTACTATAAAAATGGAAAGTTTCAAAAGTACAAGGTGTGAAAGAAATTACCTATCCCTTTTTCCCCAATTTCCTCTAACAGAGTGGGTCCTGGATGTCTTCAAGGACATATACTGGAGGGAATTCCATATTATGACATGGAAAAGGCAGAGAGCCAAAAAAGCAAAGCATTCTATCTCCCTTCTGTCCTTCTCCTTATGAAATAATATGTCTGAGAAATTATATGTTTTAGGAGAAAGAATGAAAGTGTTATATAGAAGAGAGTTTTGGAAAGGCCTCCAGACTGGTGGATATATTCCATTTCAGGGCACAATTGAAGACTTCAGGAGTAAGAGAGGCAGGGCAGTGTTCAGAAGAAAGCCAAGTGGGGTGATCTGTGGCCTTCTCAGAGTTTCAAAGGAGGGCCATTGAAGATACCTTAAGGGGTATAGGCTGGCCCAGCAGAGTAAAAAAGCCAAACAGAATTCAGGGACTTAAGCAGGACTAGAGTGTGCCTTTGACTGGAGTCCTCTCTAGGTTAATGGCCCTGAGACCTAACACACCAGTGGGTAATTGCATGAGAGTGACCAGGAGAGAAAAGAAAGTATACTTTTTAAGCACATTCACATTGCAGAATGTCAGATGAATACCAAATCTATGACCAAAAAAAAAAAAAATTACCAATGGTGTTGATATTTAAAATCTTGTAGATGACAAAATATAGCTTAATGAAGTTCTCTACCTTTCCACTAATTGTACCGGTGTCTTTCATACACAGCCTTTGGTCTGTAGATAAAGCTCCAGGCAAATTTTGTGTGTGTTGCTTTTATAATATCTATATACAATGGACATCGCTATGTTTTAAATAAAATAGTGCTTTTAGACTGCATTTTTGAGAGAGTGAATAAGTAATCACATCAAGTTCAAAATAATACCCATTGCTTTGAAATTTCAATTAAAACATCTGTAATACAAAGGCTTCTTTTTCTCTTGCTTTCCTTATTTAGTCCATGTTTTACCAACCAGTAATATGATTGATTTCGGATGCATCCATTAATGGAGCTACTGTTAAAAGTATCTAAGCACTCTATTAATCGAGAAACATTTGATCCAGTTTACCCAAATCACTTTTTTTGGCAATGATATGAATCAACTGAATGTGACAAATTAAATTTAGATTTAAATTCAGTTTTATAATCTAAGTGCCATGGGGGATCCAATGTAAAAGGCACAGCCCTTCACCCCTGAGGGAGCAGACGTTAACGGGGGAGGTGGCATATAGACTAGTGAGGTGCTTTAACTGTAACACCAGAGAACTCTGCATACCACTGGCAGGAGAAGTTGGTATTTGAACTGGACATGGATAGGCAAGATTTTGCCAGGTGGCTAGGAGAATAAACTGCATTTCAGACAAAGTAAACAGGTTAAGCAAGACAGAAAGGCAGAAAAGGTTAGAGTGTGTTACAGGAACAGTGAGGAACCAATGGCCCTCACAGCACAGTGAGGGCACATAGTAGATAGACAATAAGTCAATATTTGTTGAATAACTTTAAAGGGAAGAAGCAGAGGTCTGATTAACAAGTAAAAGGCACCAATTTCTGCCATGGATTTGGGGCTGTATTTGAAGGGAACGATATGATTCAGATTTGTTTTTTAGGCAGATAATGCTGACAGCTGTGTGGAACAGGGATTGAACATTCACTCCAAACTGGAGAAGCAGAGATTACAATAAGGAAGTTGACCATTAAGAGTTATGGACCTAAATAACCATCCTTGTATCAGATAAAGCATTTATCATTATGTTTTGACACAAATGTCTATGATGGTCAGAGGTCTGTGAGAGCATCTTAATATCTCAGGATGTCTGAACAGCACCTAATTGTGGCCATGTGGCCTGAAAGCCAAAGACTTAATGGAGGACTGGTGAGTCTCTGTTTTCCAGAGACTTGAAATCCCTAATTGTTTGTTTGAGATGCAGGCTACTTTTGATCCTTAAAATGCATAAAAACAGCTACACTGAATATCATGGAAGCCTGCAACTTTTTCTGTTGGGTTTTTTTTTTGTTTTGTTTTGTTTTTTTGCAGAGAAAAAGAGATGTTTGTCATTGGGATGGTCAGCTAAAGAATTGCCTTTTCCATTGAGAACTATCCCAAAATGCTAAATTGATATTAAATGGGCAGCCAAAGCAAAACGCATTATTTGAATGGTCCTTCATATTTACCAAATCTCTATTTATAACAATACACTTTAGGAAGGCAGAGTAGAGACATATGACCCCATTTTTTTAATGAGGTAACTAAAGCGTAAGACTTTTCCAGGCCACATGAATACTAAATTGGTGTAACAAAATTAATACAGTGTGATTTTTAAACTGCATTGTTTATTCTTCTTTATAAAGCCTATCCTCTCCATATTCATGGACCATTATGTGTTCAGCACTTGTCTATTAACTGTGGGAAATAAAAGTAGAAGGAAGATTTTGTTCTAGTCTTAGATAAACTTAAAAATTACATAGAATGTTAATAATTTAAGAAAAACATGACCATAAAAACAGTTACTAAATTATTATAACCAAATAGTGTTGGAGGCCAGAAAAAGAGATTAATGGAGATTATTAATATTGTGGGGGGAAAAATGTTAATAATTAGGAATTTTTTAAAGGAATTGTGTACCTACTGTATACCAAGTACTCAACTAAAAAATATTTATGCTATAGCTCATAAATTTCTTAGAATTATCATATGAAGTAATAGTATTTGGGGAACATGTGCTACCCAACCTAGACCACAGAGGATGGATTAGCATTAAGACAGGAAAATAATAAAGAGAAAGGCAAACTAAAATGGGAAAAGATACTGTGTCAGGGTTGTGGGGGATCTTGGAGATTACTAAGTTTGTCCTAAATTGATACATGGATTCCCTATCGGTAGTGTGAGTATCTGCTGTAACCCTTTTAGTGATGAAGAACTCACTCCTTTAAAGCAATATATTCCATTGCCAAGCAGATCTGAATGTCA